CCCAAAGTTAAGCGGGTGTCACTGAGTTTGGACGCTTTCACGCCTCCCCTCTCAGAAAAAAACGCCGCGTTTGGGATCAAATCGGCTCGCAAAAACGCGTTTAAATTAGGGTTGTCAAAAGTACAGATACTCAAAAAAGTATCGATACTTTTGATATCGACTAACAGATTTATTTATGTATTTATTTACGTTGTTTGTGATCATTAACAAGACGTTAGCCTTGAACTGATAGCTGCGGCTAATGGCTAATAATAACATGCTACTATTAGTCTAGTAACTAGCAACTCCGTCCACATCCAAGTCGGCCATTTTGATTAGGTAACCAATAGGAAGATCCCAGGCAAAAAAATCCTTATTGCTTCATGGCAATATAGACATTAATTTAAAAATAGTGAAATGAATCTTGCAAACACTGAATTAAACTCTATCCATAATATTATGTTAAAATAGTGGATGTTAAATAGGTTTGTACAATAAGTCCAAACAAGTTTAACCAAAAAATATTTATTTCTCACAATTATGAAGGGTGGAGGGTTAGGGTTAGGGTCAGGGTTAGTGTCAGGGTTAGGTTTAGGGTCAGGGTTAGGGTCAGGGTTAGGGTTAGGGTTAGGGTCAGGGTTAGGTTTAGGTTTAGGGTTAGGTTTAGGGTTAGGGTCAGGGTTAGGGTTAGGGTCATTAATGTGGGCCACCATAACATCAGTAACAGGTCAGTTTGAAACCAAAGACACTAACCTGTCCAAATTCAGTTACATTTTGGGGTCTTTGTTTTTATCCTTGTGGTAACGAAAATGGTATCGAGTATTTTCCTTAGTATCGGTATCAAGTTAAAATGCAGACTTTTGGCCAGAATGATCCCTTATGCCCCCCAGTTGTTATGTGGAGAAACACACAACACACGGAGGCCCATGAAGCCGTTTCCATAGAAACGAGTGACTTAACAAGTCCCTTAACAGCCGCTAAACCACTGGGACGGCGTTTTTCCCTCTTTAATCGCAGCTCCTCGTGGTTTGAGGCGGAAACGTTCGGCTTTTAGCCTCAAGTCCCGGCTTCCAGCAGCAAACAGGCACATTTGGAGACTTTCCGGCTGGTTTTAGAAATCAGACGGGGGCCAGAATTAGAACGAATAAGAAGAAGAATGTTTCAGACTAATCCCAAATAATGGGCTTTTTATGCCTCTGGTTTAAAGCTCTAACACCCCAGTTTACTACATTATTTTTTAGGAAACTTTGATTTACAGGTCAGGAAAGCTGATGAATACCTATTTGATATTTTGATAAACGCTAGTAAAAAAGCACTCGAAATACAGGAGTAGATAAGTACTGTAAATGATATTTACCTTATAGAAAGGATCACCTTCTCCCTCCCTCTTTGAAAAAACATATTCAATAAAAAGTGGGTTAAATATGCTGGTCTCTAACAGACAGAAGTATTGAACAGGTGACCATGCAATGCTGTTATTTATTTTATTTTATTTTATT